ACGCCAAGCACAGGGCCTCGGGATTTAAAGAAGGGGACTGGGTATGGAAAAGAAATCGTGTACTATCCAGTGCGACACAGGGTATTTCCGCAAAGCTAGCGCCAAAATTCGTAGGTCCTTACATGATCATTAAGATGTGACGAGAGCAGGCTGTGCGCTGGCTTCTCGTCTGTGTTTCTTCCTCCTTCTCCGCTCGGCAAGGCTTGGTGGCCAACGTTGGGCGCATTAAAGTATGTGTCTAACACTCGGCCTTTTTGTTTTAGCGCTAAGGACGGGCCAGCGGAGCTGAGCGCAGGAAAAAATTGAGGATCGCGGAGAGAGTGAGAAAGAGAGAGAGAGAGAGAGAGAGAGAGAGAGTGAGCATTAGGCCTATGCAGGGATAGGCAGGCGCGCGACGAGTGACCGATAAGTGGCGCGTCGCGTGCCGCCTAACTTATAGGTCAGGAAGGGATGGGAGAGAGCACCGCTAAGCGGCCGCGAGATGGTTAGTGCGAGAAAAAATGCGTGGGCGAGTCCATTCCAGTTTCGAGCAGTGAGAAAGGAAGAGATCCAGAAAAGAGTGTATTAGAAGTCAACATTGTTTATTGGCAGAGCAGCAGTGATCAGCTTATCGTCGTTCCCGTTAGACAAGTCGAGGACAGCAGCCTTGTCATCCATCACAGCCTTCCGGAACAGCAGCCTCCACAGCTTCTAGTGCTCCCCGGGTCAACGATCTCGCCGCGGTCGCAGCTCTCCTCGGAAAGTGACCCCGCCATCTACAACAGTTCTTCCGGGGTTGCAACCTCGCCGATTGCAGCTCTCGACCGAGTAGGCAGCAACACAACAAGGTCAAGGTTCTTTGCTCTTTTCTGAATCTCTCTTTTTCTCTACACTCTCTCTCCGGTAATGCGACGACCGGTGCGCATTGAATAAGATAGCCAGGCATTCACGTGCCAACTATCTAGAGGTTCGCGCTTAGTTTTAATTTGTGTTAGTGGTAGTTGCGACTGGCGAATTGTTAAAGCGCTCACGTAACGGGCAATTCATCCGGTACTGATTTCTGCGTAATTTTTAAGTAAGTTTGTAAGTAGGATAAGTGCGTGATTAATAATTGTTTAGTTAGGAAAGACCGCGATACATTTATTCACGATGATGCTAAGTAGTTTCTTTTGTTCTATTTCTTCTATTTCTAATAGACGCGATGAGTTGCCACTAGCCCCTAGGGAGCGAGAAATCCCTCGGGGTATCTTGTCCCGTGCACAGTGGGAGGGCTGTAAAGTTTGCCACTACCCAGGGGTGACCCGCACGTACCGTTGCCCTCATGTCCGGCAGCATCCTGATCTCGTCAATGAGAGGCTGGACTGGGAGGCACGAATATGAAAGAACCAGTCGAGGATTAGCAATCCGAGCATCCAGCTGCATATAACAGTAATTAAAGTTTTCCAAGTTTTCCAAGAGTACGGAAGTGATCCAGCTGACAGTTACCGAAACTTATACTTATACCGTTACGAGTGTGTGTGAGTGGGTGAGGAGTTTCGCCATCGTAGGCGATACCGAGGGCGCGAATCCCCTCTATAAAATTAAACTGAGATACCGGAAGCGGCAATACGAACCTGCCCCCCCCCCCCTGATAGTGCGACCATATATTAAGGTAAGCTGGCCAGCTTAGTACCGCGATTTTTAATGTATGGCTGCGCTTAATTAATTACTATTCCTTCGCACCGGCGACTCTGTAAAAATCGGTAGCGTGCATGTAAAATAACTTTGCGAACAAAGAACTGTGGACGATCTCGCGATGCATATTATTGTCGCGCGCGCTGCGTAAACATAAACACGCGGGCCAAGCGTCTTGTAGAGTTATCGGAAAATAAACTGACTCACGTTTGATCGAAACACTAATTTTACTGTTATCATTATTAGCAAGTAGTAAGTTGGTTGACTGACTCCCGTCCCCTCCTGCTCTTCAATTAATAAACGCGAATATTTCGATTTCACCGTGCGCATTCCGGTACTGTTACGGATCAAGTTCGCGCAATTACGAGCGAGAAATTTTCAAACGCGCATGTGTCCATCAGATGTTCGGAAAAGGTTTAGGCAGAGATCTTTGTTTCTTTTTTGTCGTCGAGCGCACACCGGTAGTCTTCATTAATTTAGCCCGCGCGGCCTTTAGAGCGAAACCCCCATTAAATATCGACGCCTGTTTATTTTATTGCTCTTTTAGTGTTCTTTTTTGCATTATTACCCGTCGTTGCTCGTCTGGTTCATGGGCGCACGTTTAGCGCAGGGGGGTCTGTTTAACACGTTTTCTTAGACTGGTTTGAAACGTTGGAAAGTCTGCTCGTCGTGGACAATCGCTAGAATAATTGCGGTATATGCGATGAAGCTGTAGTCTTGGGTGCGTGAGTTTGAGTATAAATCAACGTTTGCAGCGCGAGATGCGAATGGCGTTTTTGTACCAGAGAATAAAGCCGAGAAAAAATGACAAGCAGTTTAGGAGGAAGGCGCGTGCTCGCATGGGATCTGAGAAACAGAGCTGCAATTATTTATATTAGCAGGCGTGAAGAATTGTTAATCTCCTCTTTGCCGTTGCTCGTCGTGACCAGCAAGGTTACTGTTTAGTTCGTAACCTAGGCGGTGAGCCCAACGATCCAGACATCGACCTCTGAACCCAGGCAGAGGATTGTACAGCTCAGGCCCTGCAAGCGGGCGGGTCCGAGGCTGTATTGGCAGTATACGAGCAAGGCAAGAGGAGAGAGACAGAGAGGAAGAGCGCGCCAGCGCTATTTGTTTTTTTAGGCCCTCTACGGGTCACGCCCCAGGTTGGCGACGTCACCAAAAGAGAAGGGAGGAAAATTTGCTTTCCCGAAAAAGAGAAATTTGACGGCACTCTGAGCTCAGATCTCGCACGGGCAAGTTGTCCGTGTCCTTTCAGTAGTTAACGTGCGTGCGATTTGCGTCTACCGTAATCACAGCCGTAACCGTATGTTTCATTGTGAATCGCTTCATTTGTATTATCTTTGTAACTCAATTTAATTTGTTTGTGTTTGTTAATAAACTTGTCAGCCTTATTTCGAATTTTAAATACGCACAATTATTCTTGTTCACCAACCCCAACAATTGGTACCCCTGGTGGGACACTTGAACAATTTGAACAGGAATAAGTTGAAGTAGTGTGTAAAGTGCGTGTTAATTGTCACTTCTCTGTAAGGATGCCACCAAAACGCCAAGCATCGTCGTCAGCCGCAAATCAAGAAAGTGCCAAAAAGGCTAACAAAAAGACAGTACTGCAGCCGAAGAAAAGTGCCAAAAGAATGGCGCCGCCAATACGTGAAACCGCCAACAAAATTCAGCGAACAGGAAGAAAAGAGCAACAACAAGCAACGCTGCCGCACCCAGTTGATGCGCAAGTCGTCATTCATCCTCCAACCCCAGCGCAACAACTTTCATCACCACCGTAACAACCTCCAGCCTCAGCTCAGCAATTTACAGTTCAACGAAGACAACAACCCGCAGCTCGACGAGGACGGCCAACTCGAGCTCATCAACCTCCAACACGTCAGCAAACAGAGAATATCATCGAGCGAGCAGAGGGCAGCGAGGATGAGAGCAACATTCAGCAGGAGAATCAAGGTGCAAGCGCGTGTAATAATATACAAACTAATGCGAGCATCAGTGTCGCCGATGCAACTAATTTGTTTAGCGATACACTAAATTCGATGATACGAGCTCTCCAAAACGCGGCGGGCGGAAAATCGAGAGACTTGCCAGAATTTCGTGGCGACCCTCTCGACTGGAAGCATTTCGAGGCTGTGTATCGCGCATCAACGCAACAACATAATCTAGAACCGTGGGAAAACATGCATCACTTACGTAAAGCAATAAGAGGGAGTGCGCGCGACCGAGTCCACACTTTGCTTTCTACAACAGAGGACCCAATTGTAGTGATGAACACTCTGAAACAGCACTTCGGCGGCAATACTGAATTACGGGAGCGGATCAAGCGTGATTTAATGTCGTTGCCATCATTGCGAGGTGGAAAAACAGACCTAGTAACGTTTGCGACGGGAGTGAGTAACGCGGTGACAGCATTTGAATCGGTCGGTTTAGTTGAAAAATTATCAAGCAACGACGTTTTAGACATTGTGCTCAACAAATTGCCGGAATACCTTAAGACCGGGTTTTTCATCGAGTGTGGTAACCTTGGAGGTGGACCAAATTTAGAGTCGTTAAGGAAGTACCTGAGTACGATGTCCGCAAATGTAGTTAATACAGGCGTAGCAGAACTCATGAGAGCGCGTACACTTGCACGAAATGACACTCGATCGAGAAGAGATCACTACGATGGTCGATCAAGAAGAGAGCGTGACGTTCCCAGAAGATAAATAAGATCACCGCGCGCAGAAGTAGTCTGCTTAACAACGGAGCGATCAAGAACGAGGAGCCAGGACTGCAGCCCTCGTCGAGCAAGAAGCCCTCGTCGTGAGATCAGTCATCGTCGCGAGAGAAGCACTCTTCACGAGTGTAGCCTTCGCCGCGAAAGGAGCCCTAGCAACGCGCGCAGCTGTGCATTTTGCCACTTGTCATCGCACGAATTAGTCAATTGTAAAAAATTTGAGGCAGAGTATCCGCACCGTAAATATGCGATCGTAAAAAAACTCCAGCTTTGCTACCGATGCTTGAAAAGTGGTCATGTGGCACGTTATTGCCCGACGCGAGCGGTTTGTGACATATGTAAAAAAGGGCATCACGCGATGTTACATCAGACGAATCATAATCGCGAGGCGAGAAGCTCTGGACGTCAGGATCACGATGATCGCGTTTTCCCGCAAAATAATCGAGATGCGCCACCCAAGCGAAATGAATGACTAAGCCGAAAAGGGCTACTAAAAATCGTACCGATAAAGATCATAGGGACGACAGGCTCGTTAGAGACGTTCGCACTACTTGACGGAGGAGCAACCATAAGCTTAATAGACAGAAATGTAGCGAAACAAGTAGGACTTTCCGGGGAAAAAGTAAAAATGACAGTGAAAGGACTGTGGGGTGAAGCTTCGTTCGACACATGCGAACGGGTAATTTGTGCGGTAGAAGGCACCCGCGGCCCTCAGATTATAGAGCATGCATTAACAGCACCGAATTTAGAATTGCCGGCTCAAATAATACCGCGAGAAATCATAGAGCGCGTAAAGAGGAATGAAGGCTTAGAACTTGAGACACATCGAAACGCACAGCCACGAGTTTTGCTAGGCCAAGACAACTGGCGATTAATCGAGCCCGAAATATCGCGTCAACTAGAAGGCACAGGCATCGTTATCTCGCGTTCGGTATTGGGCTGGGCTGTTCACGGATATTTAGAAGAAAGTACAGACGACGCGTCTAATCGTCACATACATACGATTTGCTGTACGCAAACCACATGCGCGAATACGGAAAACGAGAAATTAGCAGAACTTGACATATTAATAAAAAATTACTTTGATCTGGAAAACCTAGGGGTTTCTGCGACTACAGTGAGACAGTCAGACGAAGACAGAGCCACGAGAATTCTGCGCGAAACGACGAGGAAAGTGGGAAAAGCGTGGGAGACGGGACTTCTTTGGAAAACAGATACTCTGCCTAAAATAGACACACGAGGAACGGCGTTAAGACGATTGTACGCGTTAGAACGTAAATTAGACCGTGATATTGAAACAGCGACGGCTTATTATCGAGAGATGGACCGCTTCATCGAAAATGGATACGCGGTCAAAGTCGACAACAGTCTAAATTCAGCACCCAAACGTTACATATCGCACTTCTTCGTTAAAAATCCTAACAAACCAGGGAAAGTCCGTCCGGTACTCGACGCAGCCGAGAAAACCGAGGGAGTTAGCTTCAACGATTTGCTTGACAAAGGCCCCGACCTTCTTCAATCACTCACGGGAGTGTTGCTTAGATTCCGTGAATATCCCTTCGCCGTGATAGGAGACATAAAAGATATGTATCTGCGAATTAAAGTCAGGGAAAAAGATCGGGCTGCCCAACACCTCCTTTATCGTGGAGCTGACCGCCGCCGCGAGCCTGATGAATACCAAATGACGTGTTTAATTTTCGGCTCGAAATCCTCGCCGTGTAGTGCGCTCTACGTAAAAAATAAAAACGCCGAGCAATATGCGACGGTCAAGCCTGAGGCAGCGAAAAGTCTAGTGCGAAACTGTTATATGGATGATTACTTAACGAGCGGTAAAAGTGTCGCTGCCATGCGTAAATTAGTGAACGATGTCATCTTTATCAATAAAGAAGCGAATTTCGAAATGCATGGATGGGCTTCGAACGTCCCGGAAATCGTGCGAGACGTGAGAAAAGAAAATCTGCTATGTAAAAACGAGAAAGCTAGCCTATGCGACGAAGAAGACAGAGTTTTAGGTTTGTTTTGGGATCGCGAGAACGACTGTCTGCGTTTTAATGTAGGCATTAAAAAGCTTCGCGACGATTTATTGACCGGCGCAAGGAAACCTACAAAAAGAGAGTTTTGCAGTATAGTGATGTCCGTGTACGATCCACTCGGTATTCTGTCACCATTTAGTATCAATGCCAAAATAATGCTGCAACATATCTGGCGCAGCGGCGTAGCTTGGGACGCGAAAATTAGAGACGAAGAATTTCAAACATGGAAAGCGTGGTTACAGAATTTGCTTGAAATGACAACATGCAAAATCTCGCGATGTTTTATACCAATGGGCGTTGATTACGCGCGCACAGAGTTACACGTGTTCTGTGATGCAAGCTTGCAAGCCTATGCCGCTGTAGCGTATCTTCGAACCACATCTCCCGACGGTAAAGTTTATTTATCACTTGTGATGGCGAAAACGAGAGTGGCACCGGTAAAGCCCACAACAATACCACGTTTAGAACTTCAAGCCGCTGTCCTTGGCACAAGACTTGCTGCAAATATTTCAAAAGAATTAGATATTAAAATAAACAATGTCGTGTTTTGGTCTGACTCGTCTACAGTACTGCAGTGGATTCGCGTCGGGCCTCATTTGAAATTGACGTACGTTAAGAACCGTTTAGGCGAGATAGCGGAAATAACGCAGGTTTCGCAGTGGCGATGGGTACCAACCCGTATGAATCCGGCGGACGACGCTACACGCGCTTCGACACGCCCAATGTACTCAACTGATCGATGGCTTACAGGACCCAAGTTCCTCCGCGGTCCCCCTAGTTCGTGGCCTGAAGAGCGAAAACTCAAAGCGGATCAATTGGCGCAAATAAATAAATTAGAAACGCGAAAAGACTTCATCGGTACTTCAATAGCTAATATAGTGACAACACCGTTAACCGCGAAATTACTTGGTTGGCGCGGGCTTCTAGTCCTAGCAACTCGAGTACGAAACTGCGTAAATAAATGGAGCCGTTGCAGGTCGAGAAATAAAAATGAACAGCCATCTCCTCGCCCGCAACCACAAGTAACATTAGCCGAAGTAAGGCACGAAGCCATGCGATTCTGGTATAGAGGGATCTAACGTGCATGCTTTGCAGAAGAGATCGACGCGCTAAACCGACAAAAGGAGTTACGCAAAGGTAGCAAGTTAATAAATTTACGCCCATTCATCGATAAAAACGGGATCCTTAGAGCTTCTTGTTCACCAACCCCAACAGGTACGATTGCGTGTCGAGCGAAATAACGAAACAGGAGGATTAATTACCCCGTCACAATATATATCAAGAATATTAATATGAATAAGATGACTAAAAAATAAAAGCAAGATGAATTATGTTAATTTAAAAGTAGATAAAATTTGGAAAAAATATATTAACAATTTTAATTTTAACTAGTTACGAATCCATTTATCCTAGATCAAAAATAATTATTTATATATTAACAATTTAAATAAATAAAAGACATAACATACTGTCTTCATTCCCTTATGGTTTGTTTAAATGATAAATTTAGTAATGATGGATCGAAGGAAAATAGTGATAGATGGAAAATCACTTACATAATTTTAATTGTATTCAGCAACGTTTCGTCAGCACATTTGCTGACCTCTTCAGTCTGATTTCTCTCGTAGTCAAATTATTATAGGCTAAAACGAATAAATCATAGCACAGTCAAAATTAAAGTCACTTTAATGTATTACGATGTTCTGTATTAATTTTTAACAAATTTTATACGTAACTTCAACAATAATAGGAAAAAAAAATTTCATATACTGAAAAAAATAACATTTTTACAAATGGTTACTATTATATTTGAATCATATTAAGGGGGTTATCGTGAAATTTCATTTTCTGTAGAATTTTTTAGAAAAATTGGTATGTATAGATTTCGGTGTCCTCTATAATATATAAAAAATTCAGGGACCCTAGCTTCACCGAATACGAGAAAAAAAATCGTAAAGTTGAATTCTTATACATGGCGTCTTATGGGGAAGAGCGTTCCCGCAACGACATAATTGCAAATAAGTCTGAAAGTTTTCTGTAGATTTAAAAAAAAAACTAGAGTGATAATGAGCAAGGTTGTAGCTATTATATAAAAAAATAAAAAATATCTTTTACTTCACCGTTTCAGAGATAATAGCATCAAAAATACATACTTTTTTCGTAAGTCTGGTATAACATGTGGCCATGTGTGAAGAATTGGCAACACCGCTGACAATGCAGATCATTGTAGTGAACTGCGCCGGCGCAGCGTATAGGAATTCAAACGCAACATGCTATAGACCAAAACTATTTTGATTTCGATATAATTCATTAAATTCTTTTATTTAATTTTAATATGAAAATAGATGCAAATTATTTATGTGAAAAGATGGGGTAATTGAATGAAAAAACAAATAATAAAAAAAAGATGGGGTAATTGAATGAAGAAACAAATAATAAAAAACACCTTTTACTTTTAGTCATTATTTGTGTAGTGTATCTGTTACATGTACGCGCGTAAACTTTCACTGAAAATTGAAAATGAAATATTCCTACAAAAACACTTTTTTCAAAAAGTTGACGAAAATATATATTATAAATCATTTAAAGCTCAAAATATCTTTGTACGATTGTTCTTTCATAAGAAATATCTTTTTAAAAATAGTTTTGCACTTTTCATAAACAAGATAAATATAAATATATTTTTTGAGTCTAGGCCTGTCACTCATTTTTACGTATTGAAAAATAATTAAGATAAACGCAGAAACCAGCAGAAACACTCTGTATATCAACGACGGCGAGTGTATGTATTACCTACTGCTTGCTTTGCGATGTTGCCGCATCTATATTTTCAGGCGCGCAGAGTAGTATTCGTGCACATGGATAGACGATTGGTATGTATGTGTGAACAGTCACTTACAAAAGTATAGGTCCACCAACAGTAGAACGGACAGTAGCTCGCAGTACAGTCTTCGACTTATACTTTTGAAGAGTATTGTAACACGATAACCCCCTTAATATTATTATCGCTCTTTATTATGTAAAAACAAATCGAATGAGCCATCGCTTATTAAGTTCTATTATATAGAATTTGAGTTATTAACAACGATATACATACATATATATACAAAGATATATACTTCAAACCAATTTTCGTTACATAGTATTGCTTTTAAATTTAAAATTATTATAAAAAATGATATAATAGCATATTATTTATGTACTAACGAATTCTAATATATGTCATGTTTTTGTTTTATCGAAAATGATAACATATTGTAACGGGGTAGACACCGTTTAATTATTTTTATTCGCGCGACTTTGTTGAAAGGGCGAATGTAATTATCTACTATATGCTCGAAACGCAATCCGGAGAGCATGGGGAGACAGGTGTCAGTCAACCAGTAAATCTATTAACTTATAAGAAAGTGAGTGGAAGCAAAAAGAAGTAAGCGAGTCGAAAACACTTGTTAGTAACACGAACAGAACCTTTTATTATCACTCAAATGCTACATAAGGTCGGCCCGCGCGTTTGTTTACATCGACGCTCGCTCATCGACAACACGTATTGTCGGGACGCTCGCTGCTCTTCGTTATTGGAGCCGTTACATGCACGCTTCGAATATGATAAATCGATTGTTAATCATGCAACCGCGATCGCGAGATTAAGCTGGCCAGCTTACCTTGATATGGCAGACGTTCGAAGGAAACGATAGAGTCACACACTGCGAGAAGACAGTTATTGTTAGCGTCGCGGGTCGCGAATGCGCGCACACGCGGCTTCGCCCTCGATGGCGAAGCCTCACATACTCTACCGGTCTCGTGGAGGGCGGCGTTTCTCCGCCGGCTCAGGTCTCTCCTTTCGTAGGCACACAATACCTCGTCAACTGCGATCACTCTCCTGGATCAATGGCACGGATGATCTTCGAGGGTTTTCGGTGTTGGCGGCACGTAGATCAGTAGTAGCGAAACGAAAGAGCGAACGAGCGTGATGATGGTCAAAGCTTCACTGTATCACTCGATCTCTAGCTCACGTATCAGTAATTGGCGTCGTAGTTGCGGGTGAGCGTGACGATGACCAGTGCTTCACTGGTTCGGTTTCAATCGCGCGCGTTCCGTCTGCTCGCGCGCCGAATTCCTTCGTTACGTTTTTCGTCCCCCCGGTAGGTGCTTCCCTCCCAGGCAGCAATTAGGTTATATTGTTGGCGCTAATCTGACGTTTACCGTCACATATATATTAAAATTTGATACTAGTAAAATAAAAAGTATATCTGATTCTCTGATACATTAAATTCACATATTTAAAGTATAGGCTATTTCGATGGGCTTAAAGAGATCAAATCACAGACATTTTCAAATTTTACAAAATTTCTGTATCCATAGAAATAAGGTTTTTTTCCAAATTTTTAACTTGAAATATTAATTATAACAAACGTTATTAACAATGAAAGAAAAATAATATTAAATTTTCAAACAGCTATACTTCAAAAACTAATACAGATCTGGACATGAAACTTTTTTATAATACGTGAAAAACCATAAACTTTTGAAATAATTATGACGATAAATATTAATTATGTTTTTTCGAAAAAGTTAACAACTTTTGTTTTAAACAATCGCAAAAAAATTAATGAAGCGGTATTTGTATTTTTTTTATTCTTACTTCTACAGATATTTGAGAATTTTTTCTATAAGAATCAGTAGTAACAATAATCAAGTGCCCAACATATTGGAAGACGTAGCACTACTAATAATATATTTAGTTTTCATTAGATCAAACATTAGACATGGAGTTAATGCTGCCAGTTCATCGTATTACATTCTGTTTTGTAATTGGCAGATATAACGCTGTACGCTAATACATGTGGATCAAACCCTTGAACAATGTAGGGAGTATAGTTAAATAATATTTTATCATCAACTACATAAATATCAATAATTTCGCCAAACTCAATAACACCATCATTGATAATTGTGACAATTATACTCCCCTGTCTATATGTAGAATTACAAGTATTAATACTAATAGTTTTAAGTTTTTTAGTCGAATTTGACGTTGGAAAAAGATTGTACATAGCGTTATCTATAATTTTACCATAACTGATATCAATGTCGCTATATGTTTTTAATTGAATTTTCATTTGAGATAATGATAGTCTTCTATAAATTGTTTTCAAAATATTAACATGCGATGCAGAATGAGAAACGATTTTTTTAATAACTTGATGTTTCGATTCAAATCTCATAGATGAGTATTTGACAACAGGACCATTTTGAAAAGTCATTCTTAAGTAGTGAAGTAGATTGTGAAACTTAGCTTTCAAGTCTCCGAATTTGTTAATGTATAAGAAATGATGTTGGGTAATAAACATTGATAATTTTAACATATTCGATCGTGTTTGGATAGGAGAAGTAACTTCACGTAAATTGATATACAACTCCCAATGTTGATTACCTCGGGAAATTTTATCTGCAATCAATGTCCGAAATACCTAGTGAAACATAACGTTTCGGCAGCCGACATTTTTAATTAATCGTTTTTTTTTAAGTAATCTGAGTTGATTTGATGAGGAACGTTAGATGATTCAAAAGAAAAATCCATTGTTCTTAGCCGATAGTTAAGATACTCTACAGTAACAAATTTATTTACGAAAATGAATTGTATTAATAATAAAGCCATGACATAATTGCAAATTCCCTCAAAAAAATCATGCATTGCATCTACAGCTGAATTGAGAATTATATGATAACCAATAACGCTATTAAACACACAATATTCTTTAATACCTGTTAGTTGAGGGTTAATATTAAGAATATTATTATTATACTTTTCTATAGTTCGTAGGAAAGATTCATTTTCTTTGGTTATCAAACGTCCTTGTTCCGCACTAGCATAACATGTACAACAATAATGAGTTGCTGCAAATGATTCATTGAACCCACAAATATCGTTCATCCCGAGATCATCACCTAACATTAACGATAAAAGAACATTTTTAAAAATTTTTTTATTCCAATAAATGTTACAATCTGTAATAATGACAATAAGTACATGTTTTTAAAACAAATTTTTGATTTGAATTGCGTGTAAGCACGTCTC